ACTGTTCAGTCTCCCTGGAACCAGCCATGCCTGGAGCTCTTCTCTCTTCCCCCAGGGGTATTTGTGTCCTTTCTTCCCTGAGTACAGAGGAGGCTTCCCAAGGGAAATGCCTCCATGAACAGCACCATCTGCAGAACACCCCACCACCACCCCTCCCCACCCTAGGCATAGGCACAGTCCCTCACTCTGGCAATCTGTGGGCTCTGCTCCATACTATGGGCAGGAAGCAATCGGACAGAGACTCACCGGAGTCTGGAAGTCCCATGCAAAAAAACTTCTTTGTCCTCTGACTTTTCCCCAGGGCTGGTAGCGTGGACCTTCCCTCAGTGGGCATTTAGAGAGGACATAACGGTGCTGGCACACAACTTCAGAAAGAACCGTATTCCTCCAGCCCCCAAGGAACAGGGGATCCCTGAGTGGGGAGGAGCACAGGAAAGGATCTCTGGTTCTCTTGTACATCCCTGTGATCCCTGTGAGTACACAAAATCTTTTGTGTTTTTTTTGGTTTTCTTGTACAAAAAAATAATAATACCAAAATACCAAAAAAAAAAAAATTGTTTTCTTGTACAAAATCACTGTGATTTTGTACACCACTGTAGCTCCAAGGGACAGCGCCTGAAGTGTCCCCACTACAGTGTGTCCCATATTCCACTGGGAGTCTGAACACACCCTCCTGTGCTCACCATATTCCCCTGCACACCAGTGCCTTTCTTACCTTGCAATGTGAGGGTGGGATGCAGAAAAATGTAATGATGCTGATGAGGGAAATGAGATCACTTTTAGAGGAGGCTGTCAGAGGTGGCAAGTAGCACAAGGAAGTGCCAGAAGTCTGTGCGCATCACTAATGGTAGAGATCCCACAGGACATCCATTTGCCTGTCCCACAAAGGGAGAGGGACCAGCAGAACCCCCAGGCTGTGTATGGAGGTCTTAACAGCCTAGAAGAACAGAAGGGAGGGAATAGAGTAGAGAGAAAGAAGAAGACATGGAAGTTAGACTTTGGCCATGTTTTCAGAGAGCCCCAGCTACACTCTTTTGGAAGAGGGACACTGGGTGCTCAGCCTCTCAAACATCATTGGCCAGAAGCTCTGTCTTCAGTCCAGCATCACCTTCTGGGTTCTCAGGGGTCCTTGTGTGGTGTGTCACCAGTGGCTTTAGCACTTTCTACCACAGCAGCAGATGGAAATGCACGAAAGGTCACAGCACCCAAAGTTGACAGGGACTCCATCGCAGCTGTGGATCCTGTAACTAGCAGTGAAGGTGGAGGATCCCACAGCAGAGTTCTGTGGGTAAGAGCTGAGGATGGGGTCTGGCAGAACCACCATCACAGGATGATGGTAGTTGAATTTTGGCCTTGCCTGATGCAGGGCTCATTGCAGCTGCTGGCAGTGGCATTGGGCTGCAGGACTTGGCACAGCAGGTACTGGTTGTAGCAGTACATGTGTTGGGGCAGGAGATGCAACTGGGAGAGAGGGCAGGGAGGAAGCAGAGTGTAGGGACATGTGAGGAGCAAAATATCTTGATCTAGACATGATCTGAAAAGAGTGGCCAGGACCCACAAGGATACTGCGTCTCTCTTAGATGACAATCCACCACAGACAGGTCCCACATAGTCTCTGAGTCACAACTTTCCCAATTCCTCTCTCATGACCACCATTACCACAACCCAGTACATGAGGAATCAGCCCAAAAGAGGGAGAAAAGCCAGCAGATCCCCCATGCTGGGGGATCTTATCAGAGCTTCAGATACGCTGGGTTTCCAAGAAGAAGAAGAGGAGGGGGGTGAGGTGCTGGGCTGGCTTTTCTGGTGGCCTTGCACTGTCCCAGGCTCAGAGGTAGCCTTCAGAGAAGTGATAAATTTCTAGGGGGCTTGTGATGAATGGAAACCCTCCCAGCTAATGACATGGGTTGTAGGGCTGTTTCCCCCTCTACACTGTCTTTATGATTTCCTGGCTTATGCCACACCCATTCCCTTTTGGAGGCTTCTTCTGTGTGCAATTTCTGTGTGATTTCTGGGCAAGGACTGAGTCAGTGGTAGCAGAGGACTTGGCTCAAGCACATGATTGGTCCAGTGCAGACAAGTGATGCTGGCCTGTGGTACTGGAGTGGTGTTGTTTGTGATTTGTAACAGGAAGGGACCCAGCTGTTCCCAGCCCTGCAGTCCTTGCCTGGTCATCTGAGGGCTTCCCTATGTGCAGATATGTCATCTCTTCTACTCTGCCTCCTTTCCTCCCTTCGTCACTCCCTCCCAACTTACTCCAACAGCCCCATGGGGTTGGCTTCCAGATAGGTGGGCTGCACTAATGGGTTTCTTTTTGCTTCCTTATAAAGCTGACTTCTGGAGAAATGGGTTGACCTCCTTGGACTCCTCTCTCTGGGCAGTCCCTGTGCATCCCCACACTGTGCTGTCCTGTCCTCTGGAGCCTTGTCCTGCTCAGAATGCCACAGGTATGCCCTGCCAGAAAAGTCCCCAGCATCTCCTCTGTCAGCTGCCCTTGGCCTCTGCCCCTGCCCCATCGGGAATGTGTGTGAACACGTGTGGGGCAGAGCCCTTGTGAACTCATCAGAGGCACTGAGTGCACACATGTACCTGATGTCTGCATGTGTACACATGCATGGCCTCGTGTTCCTGCGTATGCAGTGTTTGCACCTGCATTTTTCAGAGCATCTATGGAACTGTGCATTTATGCATGCACATGCATGCTTGCATGTGTCCATCAATCTGTGTGTGTATTGCGTATGCATTCTTGGTATGTGCTAGTGCACATGTGCACATAATTCACCTGACCCTAGGCATGTGTCCAGCTGGTCCCAGGGCATCTGGGACCCCTACATCTGCATCCTCTTTGCCGTTCTCTCTCTTCCCTTGTCTTTCACTCACCAAAAGGCATTCTGTGCTTGTGCCTCCAATCTCACCACAGTTTCCATTCTCTGAGGACCTTTATGTCAATATTTGTACTTTGCTTGACAGTGTGCTGCAAGTGAGACTGGCATGGCTTGGGAACTGGAATAGATTCTCCAGGGAAGTGGTCACAGCATGAAGCCTGCTGGGGTTCAAGAAGCGTTTGAACATTCAGACGTGGTATAATTTGTAGGTAGTCCTCTGTGGAGCAAGAGGAGAGGGACTCAGTGATCTTTGTGGGTCTATTCTAACTCAGGATATCCTACAGTACTGTTCTTATATGTTTTTCAGAGAAATTGAGATGCTATGTGGACAACATCTTTTTTAAATGTTGGTCTTGTTCTCCTTGATTAACTTATGCTGCAGGCAGGGAATAGGAAAGATGGCATCAACAATTTGACTTGTTCTCTAGAAGGTTTTTTCTATTTCCTAGAAAAAAGTTAATCTCAAATTGTGAGTATGCTACTACACCTCAGACATCAGTCTTAGACAGGACACATTTCTGGCTCAGGAGCACCTATTGATTATTGCTGTAAGCTGGGCAACAGATGTGTAATGTGCAGAAGTTGCACTGGCAACATGTAGAATCTGTGTGAAAGCAAAGTGCACAGCACTGTGTACACCCTGCATACACCACAGGGCCCCAAGGTGTGCTACTGTGGGAAGGCCCTGACTTGGGTGTGGGGAGCAGTGGTGCTGCATGGTGCACAAGGACCACTTCATCCTTGTGGCTCTGGGAATGACAGAGGAGCTTGATGCCTGGGAGAAGATCCCCCAGTGTGTGCCCTGTGGCTGGGCTGGTGTATGTCTTGTGCCATTCAGGGCCCATATACAGATCCTGCTGAGTGTACAATCAGGTCCCATTCTCACTGCCATCTCTCAGTGGTCATTGGGATTTCTGCATTCACAGAATGTCTTATCTGGAGCATTGTGGGGTTGTGGCACCTATGGAACCTTCGAGTTCCTGGGTCTGTTGAATGTTGTTCCATGCCTGGGGAAGAGAATCCAAGATGCAGTAGCCATGACTGTTTGGGCACCAGTCCCTGTCCTGGGCCTGCCTTCATGTAATAAGGAGTTGGGTTCACAGGGACTGGGTATTCCAATGCGTCCTGCTGTAGCTGGTAGGAGTACGAACTTGTGGGAATAGCTGTGCCATGCCAGATGTTGTATTGAAGGGTGATAAGGCTGCTCAAGGAAGCTATATCTGCTCTTCAAACCCTGGCATGCTGCCTATGATCAGGTGCTGGAGGAGAGGGAAAAGTGGAGGCGAGACAGAGGGCCATCCCCAAGACAATTACCCATTCCCAGTTTCTGCAATCCTTTGGGAACATCGTTGTCCAAGCCTCCACCCCCAGCACAGCTCCACCCAAAGCAAGATGCCCCAGAGCTGGGGCCTCCAATGTTAACAGAACTTATTTAGGCAGAGACTTACAAGTCAAGGACTGGTGGCCATTGCCTGTGGAAGAACTAGGGATGTCTTCCTCACCTTCAAGAGACAGTGCCTGAAAGGTGATTTGCTGCAGTGTGAACCGCCGTCCAAAGCTTAGAGGATTGAGGCAGTGCCCACAGCCACAGCTAATTCCCACCAAAGCAATGACTTTCTCCCTGGCCATCTCTATGCAGATGGAAAGACGAGACCAGAACACATTCAGGGTTGCTCCAAATGTTTATTGAGTCTCAGGAGGAAAATTAGGTGACTCCAAAGGAGGCCCCGAGAGTGAAGCTCAGGAGGAGAAGAAAAAGAATCTGTTCAGCTTTTCCTATTGCAGAGTTGCTACATCTACCTGGCCCACAAGTGGAGAGAGGCTAGAGGGCACTCAAATCAAGCTGGTTCCTGGGGGCCTCACAGAGAGCTTGGAGGGGAGCAGAGGGCAAAAAGAAATAGAGGGTAAAAAGTATGAGTGAGTGAGTGGAAAACAGAATAGGTAGATATGAGCTGTGTTGTCAGAGAACCCTTGTTGGCCCCTTCTTATCTGTCATTACAGGACAAGACAGCGATGGTCAGCTCAATTTAAAACAATATCATGAAGGTCTGTTCTTCTGTCCAGCAGCATGTTGTGAGTTCCTGGGGTCCTGGTCTGGGAAAGGGTCTGGCATCTTTAGCAGGGGCGGCAACAGTAGCGGCTGGCAATACAAGAGAGGTCACAGCACCCAGAGTTGATGGGGACTCCGTCACAGCTGAGGATGCTGCCAACGGCAGCAGAGGTGGAGGATCCCACAACGGTGTTCTGCGGGAAGGAGCTGAGGATGGGGCCGGGCAGGGTCACCACCACGGGAGAGGGCTCAATGACGATGGTAGAGTTCTGGCACTGCCTGACGCAGGGCTCGTTGCAGCTGCTGGCCAGCGGGGTCGGGCCACAGGGCTGGCATGGCCGGCACTGGTCGTAGCAGGACATGTCTGGGGGCAGGAGGTTCACCTGGGGGAGAAGGCAGGGAGGAAGCTCAACATGGAGATGCATGAGGAGCAGCCTGTCACCACACCCTGAGGAAACCAATGCATAGGCCGTGCTGGGAGCTGGAGGCTGTGCAGGGATGTGTGAGGGATTCTTGGCCTCATCCTGCCAGGGCCCCAAAGAAGCTATCAGGGCCTATCTGGCTGCAGCCAAGGTTCTAGCCAAGAAGCTATTGTAGTACACACCCAGACTTCCTCCATAGTAAACCTTCTCCCCACTTCCCTCTCCCACTACCAGCAGCCCCAAGATTTGACATGGAACAGAGCTGACTGCAGCTAAGAGGTCCGCAGAGATTAGTTGTCCTGTTGAAGAGTGAGGGGGCAAGGAAGAACTTCGCACTCACCTGGTTCCCAAGGAGGAGAAGGCCAGAGAAGTGGATGAGGGAGCACGGGGCTGGGCTGGCTTTTATATGGACCTTAGCCGCCCCATGTCCAGAGACATCCCTTGAAGCTGTGATTATTTTCTGACAAGCTCCTTTTGAATGCAAAACATCCCAGCTAATGATATGGGCTGTGTATTTCCTTCCTGTGATGTTTTTTATTTCCTGCTTTGTGCCATGCCTTTTCCCCAGTTAAGTCACCTTTTTATTGGCAGGTAGAGAGGCCCAAGTATTTCCAGGCAACACAGGTCATTGTGGGCAGAAGACTCAGCTCACATGCTGGAAGAGTCCAGTAATGGCAAATGACGTCAGCCTGGGTGTCTCCTTAGGGGCTCTTTGGGGCCCTTTTGGCCACAGGTTTCCCAGCTCCTACCTGTGACCATACCCCACCTAACACTGCCCTCGGGGAAAACCTTCTGACATGTTTTGCCTCCTTCTGCTCTGACCAAGGGATGTCTGTATGAGGGGAGAGGTTGTACAGAGCCCCTCCTGGATCTCTAAAGAAAGGCCCAACAGAAAACCAAGTGTCTGTTTTAGTGCTACAAAATATATAGCGGAATGTACACCTTCTCCTTAAATGATGTAAGCTTATGCCTGCCTTGACACCCAGGAGTGCTCAGTAGGGGCACTCCAGCAGATTAATTTACCGCTACTAGTCAGGCTAATAAATGAGATTCTCAACTGTTAAATGCAATGCCCAAGAGAGCTGATGTCTTGCCAAGAGCCCTGGCCCAAGTGCCTTGGCAGGGGGACTGGAATCCGGTGATCTTTAAGGTCCCTTCCAACCCAAGCCATTCTATGGTTCTGTCATACCGTTCTCTGTCATCTACCACTTGACCTGGAGTGGGAATACACTCACGGTGGTGAGGGTGGTGCCCAACCAGCACTTGAGCTGTCCCATGTAGTTTGTCTTTGGCAACTTCCCCTTCACTTACGTGTACTATGTCTTGCTCAGTACTTAAAGGGGGCTTATAAAAAAGATGGGGAGCAACTTTTTACTAAGTCAGGTAATGATAGGACTAGGGGGAATGGTTTTAATTTAAAAGAAGGGAGATTTAGATTAAATGTTAGGAGGAAACATAGAGGTTGTTGAGGCACTAGAACGGTATGAACAGACAACATGTATATGCCCAATCCCTGGAGGTGTTCAAGACCAGAGTGCCCCTGACAATCTGATCTAATCGGTGGCTTCCCTGTCCATGGCAGAGGGGCTGGAACTCAACAATCTTTAAGGTTCCTTCCAACCCAAGTCATTCTATGGTTCTATAATTCTATCATACTGTTCTAAGACATCTATCTCTTGATCTGGACTGGGAATTCACTAGTGATGATGGTGCCCAAACACAGAATCACAGAATCACAGAATTTCTAGGTTGGAAGAGACCTCAAGATCATCGAGTCCAACCTCTAACCTAACACTAACAGTCCCCACTAAACCATATCACTAAGCTCTACATCTAAACGTCTTTTAAAGACTTCCAGGGATGGTGACTCCACCACCTCCCTGGGCAGCCTGTTCCAGTGCCTAACAACCCTTTCAGTAAAGAAGTTCTTCCTAAGTAAAGAAGTTCTTCCTAACACCTTCCTAACACCTTCCTAACACCATCTTGCACTCTCCGATGTAGTTTATCTTTTGCAACTTCCCCTTCACTGACATGTACAATGGCTAGCTCAGGATGCCTCTTATGTTTTTAGATGCCTTCTGTGTAGCGAGGATAATTTTGTTCTCTAGCTGTGTGATCTAGCTCCTCTTCCTCTAATAGTGGGCCTAAAATGGGATCTTCTCTTCACACTCAAGGACCAGGATAGATCTGTTGGCGTCTACTATCCACTGCCATGGGAGAGAAGGTATGTGCCTGTTTGGTGGGAAGCCTGTGGACTGAGCTCCTGCACCCTTCCTTGGCACAAGTGGCACTCCTGCTTCGATAATCCTGTGCTGCCCCTACATAGTAACTGACGGCTTCTTCTGGGACTTGCTACCTGTCATGCAGCTGGCATCTGCTGAGAGCTTCTGCACTGCTGTGCTCCTTGATTACAATAGCACCATCAGTTTTCCTGTCTTCCTTGAGCTCCTGTAGGGTGTTCCTTGTTGCCCTCTGGAAGTAGGCTTGTGAGGAGACACAAGACACCGTCTGCTCACTCTCACTTGGCTGCAGTTGTGTTGTGCCTGGGGCCATGCTCCTTCCTCTCTACCCACCCCATTGCAAACATCGCCCTGAACAGTGGTGTTCAGCATCTCCAGGGCTGTGATGCCCCTGCTCCATGCACCAACCTAGAGCCTGAAGACCTATAAGGTGAAGGAAGCCATGGGAAAACTGAGAAACAAAGGGTGTTTGTTTCTTTGTTTGTTTTCTCTGACAGATGATGAGGGAGGCAGTGAGGGGGGGAGGGGGCACACCACTTGTGGGGGGCTATGCGGGGCTGTGGCCGTGTTTATGCTAGCGCGATTATCAGATTGGGGATGTTTTCAGTTGGGACGCTAAGAAAAGGGAACACAATCAACAAGCATACAGAGACAGCGACCAGACCAAAGAAACATGAAGGCGATCACGACAGAAACCTCGCAATTCACACTGGTTGTTGGCCTATCAAGAAGCCACAGGTGCCACTGCCAGGAAGATCAGCCTGAGCCTTGCAACTGCAATGGTTGTGAAACATGGACGCCGGCAGGAATGGGTGTGGGATAGACCTATACAAACCCATGTGGGGACGTGCAGGGCAAGGGGAGCTGGGAGGAGCACACAAGGGCAGACGGAGCGGGGTGTCCTGTCTTCCTCTGGAATCTGTCCTTACCTGTGTGCACGTGTACTGCAAGGAGAAAGTGCCAGCTCCTGGTAGAAAAATGAGAGCAGATTTGGTGCCAGCTGCCAGAGTCAGACTGGGGGCGAGGCTGCCCCCGGCCTATGCTGTCAGCTGCTGGAGCCAGGACGTCCCTGTGCAGCTCCTGGAGCAGGGGGAGGAGGTCTCAGCCTCCAGGCAAATGCATCAGGAGCATTTTGGGCCCCCAAAAGCAGCTACTGCCAGTACCAGACTGGGTATATCTTCCCCAAACGGGGCATACACATCCCTGTCTGTGTGTCTCCTGCATATGTGCTCAGCTTCCATAACCGTAGAGCCTGCAAAGGGGAAAGTGGGCAGCTGCACTCCTCAGCCTGGGCAGAGGCCCTCGACCGGTGCTGCCAAGTTCCACGGGTAGCACCAGCTGGAGGGACCCTCGGGCTCGGGGTGTTGTCGGTGCGCCCCGTCCAAGGGCAGTGCCGGCCGCAGCCCGGGAACCACTGGTCGCAGCATCGCATACCAGACCCGACCTGGCCTGGCGCTGCCCACTGCCCCCTGCCTGCCCCTCTTGCTGGGGACGCTGCAGACGGGCAGCTGCTGTCTCTGCTCCCTCTCCCTTTCTCTCTCCCTTTGCTACTCCCTCTCTTATCCCGCCTCCTCTTCCGTGCCGAAGGAGCTGCCTCAGCCTTTCCCCGCACACATCCACGCCTCCGCGTCCCGGGCTGGGCTGCAGGACGGGCAGAGCCCCGCGGGCAGCAGCCGAAGCCCTGCCCGCCCACAGGCGCCCAGCACTCGCAGCCCGGGCCAGCCCCCGAGCGGCCCCGGGGCGGAGCTGGCGGCGGCGGGGAGGAGGCGCCGCGGGCGGAGCAGAGCCGGGGCTGGCGGGGGCAGCGCGGCGCGGGCGGCGGAGCGGCGGGATGCGGCAGGGCCGGGCCGCAGGGCTGGCGGCGCTGGCCGCGGTGCTCCTGGGTGCGCGGGGCTGCCGGCGCCGGGGACGGGACGGGACGGGACGGGGCTGCCCTCGCTTCTGGCCCGCCGGCTTCTTACGGACCTCGCTCCCCTCTGGCCTCCCTCTGCAGCCATCCCGCCTGCCTCCAGCGAGCTCAGCCGGCCGTTGCCTCCCACCTTGCCTTGCTCCCTGCCTCCCTCTTCTCCTTTCGGCACACCCCCACTCATTTCTGCCTGCTTCCCTTCTCCTCCTGGCTCGGCTCGGACCCTCCTTCCAAACAGCCGTGTTCTGACTTGGTCCCCAAATAACCCTTCCCAGAGAAATCCCTTTGTGTGCTTTCTATTGAGGAAATGCTCCCATCAGCTGTCAACTGTTTTCTTCTTCCCTTTCCCACTTTGTGACATTTTCGGTGCAGGAAAGACATTTGCTGAGTTTTCTCCTGCTTTCTTTCTTGGCAGTGGCTGTGGGCAGAGCCCAGGTGCAGCAGGAACCATGGGCAGAGACCACCGAGGGCACCAGCATCAATATCACCTGCTCACACCCCAACATCCAGACTGGTGAAGTCATCCACTGGTACCGCCATCTCCCGGGCCAAGGACCCGCATTCCTAGTGTTCGGTACTGGAGGCTCCAGAGCACTGACGGACCTGCCGGGCTGGCTCGTGGTGGCAGCAGACCGCCGGTCCAGCGCCCTGTGGCTCACCAAGCCCCGGCTTCGGGACGCGGCGGTGTATTACTGCGCCCTGAGAGCCACGGGGAGAGGAGCCGGGGCTGCGGCCGTGCAGGAACCGTGGCGGGCGGGGCCGGGCGTGTGTGGCGGGGGGGGAGGCAGGGGCACAGGTCCCAGGCGGCGCTGCCGCTCTGCCGGCGGGGGCCGTCTTACGGTACAGGCGCGGAGGTTCCCCCGCCAGTCCAGCCCTGGCCTGGACCGGTCCTGCTGAGGCCCATTAGTTCTTCCGGGTAGGTCGCTGGGGGTCTGATGTGGGTCAGACCCAGCTACGTGTGAGAGGTCAGGACGGCACACCCAGCGATGTTGGGCTTCTTTCCGTACCAGAAGCCACTTTTGCAGAAGCTCTTCTTCAGTGAATACAAGCAACACTTTAACTCCACTTCCAACAAACTGCTCTCCTTCCTTCAGACTCAATCTCAACTGCTTCATGGCCACTTTGATCCACCTTTGTCCTTTCTTCACCTTTAGCTTTGGGAAATCCTTTTGTTCTATGCGTGTCCCTCTCCTTCCCTGGCCTTTCCCCCACTTCTACATTCTTCCTGGACAGCTCAGGACGGACTATGCAGAGGGAAAAAATATTTACAGTCAAGGCTGGGATGCACAAATCTTTAATGAGTATACAGAGAAAAAGGAGGTCACTCCAAGCAGAAGCCCCTCAGTGCAGGGATCACCAGGGCCAATCAAAAGGCCTACTGTCCCTTGCCTATGGTGGAGATCATGCAGGGCATGTGTCTGCTGTTCCTGCAGTGGGAGGGCTGGCTCTGAGAAGCAACACAGCCCAAGGAAGAAACACAAAGAAAAGGGAGAGAAGAAGGTAGGTGAAGGGATGGAAGGAGGGGCATGGGCTGTGTTTTCAGAAATTTCAGGGTAGACACTGGGCTGGATCCTGCCAATATTTGCCAGAGTAGCTAAGGAATGTCAGTCATTCTGAAAGCAACGGCCTGAAGATTCCTCCTTTGTGTAGCACCATATACGAAGTTCCTGGGAGAAGAACCCCAGGGCCATGGCCACTGGCTTCTTTAGCAGGGCAGGCACCTTCTGCCACAGTAGCGGCTGGAAATGCCAGAGAGGTCACAGCAGCCAGAGGTGATGGGGACTCCGTCACAGCTGAGGATGCTGCCAACGGCAGCGGAGGTGGAGGATCCCACAACGGTGTTCTGCGGGAAGGAGCTGAGGATGGGGCCGGGCAGGGTCACCACCACGGGAGAGGGCTCAATGACAACGGTGGAGTTCTGGCACTGCCTGACGCAGGGCTCGTTGCAGCTGCTGGCCAGTGGAGTCGGGCCACAGGGCCGGCATGGCAGGCACTGGTTGTAGCAGGACATGTCTTGGGCTGGAGAGGCACCTGGGAAAGATGGTAGAGAGGAAGCAGAGCACATGGGTAGGTGAGGATCAGCTCAGTTACTCCATCACAAAAGGGCCAAGGCAACTGCTGAAGGTGGATGTGGAGGCTGTGCCATGAGGCACATGGTCTTCCTCACTTTGTCCTGACAAGGCCCTTCAAAGAGCAGCCTGGCTCAGGAACACCCTCACATAGTCACATAGCACATAAACCAAAAGCTTCCTCAGACCTCTTTCCCAACCTCTCCCTATACAGAACTTCTCTATCCAGCCCTCTTCCATGGCAAGGAACTCCAAGGCACTGAACTCCGTAGCTCTGAGCCACCATCGGATTTGATGTCTATTGATGCAAGATCCCTTCCACTTTGGAAGAGGAGGAGAGAGGGCTTCAGACTCACCTGGTTCCCAAGGAGGACAAGGCGAGAGAATTGGATGGGAGAGCAGGGAGCTGAGCTGCCTTTTATACTGGTCCTTCATTGCTGCTGGCCCAGAGTCTCCCTTGGCAGAGGTAACAATTTTCTGACAAGCTCATCTTGAATGCAAACCATCCCAACAAATGATATGGGCTGTGCGTTGGTTTCCTGCACTGCTGTCTTTTCATTTCCAGATTTTAGGTCATGGCCATGCCCTAGTGATGGCTTCTTTAGAGTGCTGGGATGAAACGTCCAAGTATTTCTAGGGCAGGAATGCATCAGTGAGGGCGGAATACTCATCTGTGAGGGCTGTATATGTCCTGAGTAGTCATGTGATGTCTGTTTGGATCACTTTATTGGACTTCTCCCGTTCTGAGGAAGAAGCTCCAGCAAGTGTCAGAAGGATGTCCAAAGGCAGCTGTGCATGAGGATGTGTCACATCCTTCGCTTTCCTTCCATGCTTAACTCACTCTGATGGTCCCTTCTTGCATCCCCAGGTCTGTGATTTTTTCTACTGGCTTTGATCCCATCCCCATTAACACTGCCCTCCAGAATTTATATTTTTGCCTTTTCGACTCTGCCCTTCTCTGTGCAGTCTGAGTTCATAAACAATGCCATAGGATTACAGAACGGCAGAATCATAGAATGGCTTTCATTGGAATAGACCTTAAAGATCACTGAGTGAACTCCCTGCCATGGATATGAGTACTTTCCAGCAGAATAGTCTGCCCAGAGCCCCATCCAAAATATCTTTGAACATTTCCAAAAATCGGGCATTGGTAAGATCTCTCTTGGGCATCTAGAAGATCTCTACAAATTGGGCATCTAAAAGATCTCTTCCTCTCTGTCATCACCCCCATAGTAAACAATTTCTTCCTAATAACTTATCTAAATCTACTCTTCTTTAGTTTAAAACCATTACCCCTTGACGTACTCCAGCCCTCTGATCCTCTTTGTGGCCCTCCTTTGGACCCACTCTAACAGGTCTTTGTCTTTCTTGTGCTGGGAGCCCCAGCGCTGAATGCAGCACTCCAGTTGATGTCTTCCTGGAGCAACGTAGAGGGGGAGAATCACCTCCCACCACCTGCTGCTCACGCCTCTTTCAATGCAGCTTAGATTATGGTTGGCCGGTTGGGCTCTAAGTGCACTTTGCTTGCTCATGTTGAGTTTTTCATCAAACACCTACACCAAGTCCTTCTCTTCAGGGCTCCTCTCAACCTATTCACAGCCCAGCTCATAGTTGTGATTGGGATTGCCCTGATCCACACGAAGGACCTTGCACTTGGCCTTGTTGAACCTCATAAGACTCGCATGGGCCCACTTCTCAAGCCTGGCTAAGTCTCCATGAATGGAATCCCTTCCCTCTAATGTGTCAAATGCACCTCTTGGTATCATCAACAAACTTTCTGGGTGCCACTCAGTGCCACACTCCATGTCCCCAGGAAAGATATTAACTAATACCGGTCTCAGTACAGACCCTTGAGGGATACCAAGGGTCCATTAGCTGCATGGTCTGAGCGCGACCATGCAGCTAATTCTTTATCCACCGAGCATTCCATCTGTCCATGCCTCCCCAGCTCAGAGAGAAGGATGTTGTGCCGGATGGTGTCAAATACTTGGCACAAGTCCAGGCAGATGATGTCAATTGCTCTTTCCCTATCCACCTGTCGTGGTTCCGCTCGAGTGGGCAGCCTAGCTCCACCACAGCCGCTCTCTCACTCCCCCTCCTCAAAGAGGAATGGGGAGAAAATATGTGAAAAGGGCTCAAAGGTTGAGATAAGGATGAGAAAATCATGCAATAATTATTGTAACGGGCAAAACAGACTCAGCATAAGAAGACAGTAAGATTTATTGCTCATTACTAACAAGCTAGAGAAGTGAGAAACAAAGGAAAGAAACCAAAAGCACCTTCCCCCCCCCATCCTCCCTCTTCCACCTCCTCCCCCGAGCGGTGCAGGGGAACGGGGGAATGGGGGTTATGGTCACTCTACAGTGCTTCTTCTCTGTCGCTCCTTCTCGGTCACTCTCATCCCCTGTGCTGTGGGGTCCTTCCCACAGGATGCAGTCCTTAATGAACTGATCCAGCGTGGGGTTCCCACAGGCAGCAGCTCTTCCAGAACTGCTCCAGATATGGCTCCATACCATGGGGTCCATCCCTCAGGAGAAAACTGCTCCAACCTGGCTCCCCCACGGGCAGCAGCTCCTGCCAGGTCACCTGCTCCTGCGTGGGCTCCTCTTCACGGGCTACAGGTCCGGCCCGGAATCTGCTCCGGCAGGGGTCTTCCACAGGTGGCAGCCTCCGTCGCTGCAGGGCCACCTGCTCCACTGTGGTCTCCTCCACGGGCTGCAGCATGGAACCCTGCTCCACCGTGGTACTCCATGGGCTGCAGGGGGACATCCTGCTTCACCATGGTCCTCACCACAGGCCGCAGGGGACTTCTGCTCCGGCGCCTGGAGCACGTCTCCTCCTCCTTCTACACTGACCTTGGTGCCTGCAAGGCCATTCCTTACTCCCTTCACTCTCCCAGCTGCTGTGTTGCGCAGCGTTTTTTTTCCCTGTCTTAAATATACTCTCACAGAGGCACAAAACAACATCACTTATTGGCTCAGCTCTGGAAAACAATGGGGCTGTTCCCAAACATGGGGCAGCTTCTAGATCTTTCTCACAGAAACCACCCCTATGGCCCCCTGCTACCAAAGCCTTGCCACGTAAACCCACTATACCACCATTGTAAAAGAACCACCAGATTTGTCAGGCACAATCTGCCCCTAGTGAAGCCATGTTTGTTTTCACCAATCATCTCCTTATTTTCTGTGTGTGCAAGCATAGTTTCCAGGAGGATCTGTTCCATGATCTTGCGGGTCACAGAGGTGAGGCTGGCCAGTATGTAGTTCCCTTTGTCTTCTCAATTAGGATGCACAGTAGTTTGGCAACATCACCCACCACTTCCCATAAGACCCACAGGTGCATCTCATCTAATCCCATGGACTTGTGCACCTTCACGTTCCTTTGTTGGTCTTGAACCTGAACCTGATCAGTGGTTCTTCATTCTCCTAGTCCCTGCTTTTGCCTTCTGAGACTTGGGCTAGGTGTCTAGAGCTCTTGCTGGTGAGGGCTGAAGCAAAAAAGACATTGGCTAACTCAGACTTCACCATATCCTGAGTAACCAGGTTTTCCATTTCCTTCCGGAGAGGTCCACAATTTCCCTAGTCTTCCTTTTATCACAGACGTACCTAGAGAAGCCTTTCTTGTTGCCCTTGATGTCCCTGGCCAAATTAAATTCTAATGGGGCTTTTAGCTTTCCTAACCTAATCCCTGGATGTTCTGATGATTTTTCTGTGCTCCTCCCGGACTATCTGTCCTCGATTCCACCCTCTATAGGCCTCCTTTTTCTCATAGAGTTTACCAGTTGCTCCTTGTTCATCCATGCAGGCTTGCTGGCATTTTGCCTGACTCCTTTTTGTCGGGATGCATCTCTCCTGAGCTTTCTTAGGCCTGAGCTTTCTTAGGCCTCTCTTCCCTCCGGCGTTTTGTATCATGGTACACTACCAAGGAGATCCCTGAGGAGGACAAAGTCTGCTCTCCCAAAGTCCAGGGCAGCAAGCTTGCTGTCCTCCCTCCTTGCTGTGCTCAGGATGCTAAATTTCACCATTTCACAGTCAGGGCAGCCAAGGCTGCCCTTGAGATTCACATGCTATCTGCCCCAGTTGCTGTGAGAACGAGGTCCAGCATAGCATCTGTCCTCATAAGCTCACCTTGTGCACTCACCTGAGTGTCTGGTTGCTTGTGTTCACACATCTGTTCTTGTCTTTTGACAGTGGGGGGGATGTCAAAGGGGGAATGGTTTTAAAATAAAAGAAGGGAGATTTAGATTAGATGTTAGGAGGCAATACAAAGGTTGTTGAGGCACTAGAACAGCACAGAGAAGGCGTGTATGCCCAGTCACTGGAGATGTTCAAGACCAGATTGCCCTGGACAACCTGATCTAGTGGGTGGCATCACTTGCCCTTGTTATATTTCATTAAATTTCTCCCTGCCCAACTCTCCAGTCTGTCTAGGTCCCACTGGATGGCAGCACAGCCTTTTAGAACATCAGCCACTCCTCCCAGTTTAGTGTCATCAGCAAACTTGCTGACACTGCACTCTATTCCCTCATCACCGGTCCCAGTAACAACCCTTGAGGGGCTCCACTAGATACAGGCTTCCAACTAGACTCTGTCCTATTGACCACAATTCTCTGGCTTCTTCCCTTCAGCCAGTTCACAGTGTATCTCACTACCTGATCATCCAGGCCACACCTCCTCAGTTTAGCAGCAAGGATGCTGTGGGAGATGATGTCAAAGGCATTACTGAAATCAAGATAGACCATGTACACTAATTTACCATCACCTATCCATCTGGTTATGTCTTCATAAAAGCCTATCGGGTTGGTCAAGCACGACTTCCCCGAGGTGAAGCTATGGTGACTGCCCCTAATGACCCTTTTCTCCTTGATAAGCCTAGAGACAATGTCGTGGCTTAGCCCGGCTGGCAGCTAAACACCACGCAGCTGTTCGCTCACCCTCCCGCC